CACACCATCACCCCACACAGAAATCCACTCTCATCAAGACGCTCATTCATCGGGCTAAGAAAGTGTCAGATGGTGATAATCTGAGAAGTTAAATTAAACATGTTAAAGAAGTGCTGCAATTGAACAGTTACAATGATGCACAAATCAACAGGGCATTGAATGCCAAAACCAAGTCAAATAACACGAACATTAAAACTGCCCAAGTAATTAAAATTATAAAAATACGGTACATTGTGGGAGTAACTGATAAACTAGCCAGATGTTTGTAAAAACAAAACATCCTAATCAGATTTGGCACGGTACGTAAAATACAAAAAATAATATCTGGTACGAAATATGTATTACCGAAGCTATCAACAGAAGGTGTGTACCGGATTAATTGCACTTGTGGCAAATGCTATGTTGGGCAAACAGGACGAATGATCAGCACAAGACAAAAATAACACCAAATAAATATTTAATACTCCCAAATACATGTCAGAAGTAGCAGAACATGCTTTCCAACAAGGACACTCAATTGATTTTGATAATGTTGAATTTCTGTGCAAAACAAGTTACTACTGGCCAAGACTAATTAGAGAATATATCCAAATTGAAAGAAATAAAAATAATTTTAACCGTTCGGATAGCTACCGACTTAGTGCTGCTTGGAAGCGAAATATCAAATAATAGTTTAAATGCATGCCTATACAGGCTACCATACTTCAATAGGGATTAGCGTTGGTTTGGCTATTAGAGGAGACAGTGGACAGGGATGACAAGATCAATGGGCTCGCATAATGGACATTCATCATGTATGTTGATTCATTAACCCGCCATCCCCCCACCCCCCCGTGTGCTGTACTAGTAACGAATTGGCACGTTCTGTTCACGTGACAACCCTTACTAATTGGCTGTGTCGGGTGGTGGTGGGTTTAACGACACATATATTTTCGTAATTTAACCCCAAAAAAACTTTTTATGAATCAGTGTTATCAACCGCAACTTTAACTATACCGTTTGTTGCTGGCTTCTTCGTATTTTTTGGGGGGCCTTTGGGCCTGTGGGCCTGTGGGCCTGTGCCCCGCAAACCGCGATAAACAAAATAAAATAAAACGATACGCTCAGAGAAAGGAAAACAATATCGGGTTCGTGACCTTCCGTTGAGAAACGAGCCACATTTCCTGTAACGATCATTGGACGTCAATTTAAATTGCCGCTCATCCCCAGCTCCAATAGTCGCTGGTGGTCCGCTCACTGTGGTTGTGTCCCCTTTGGCTCAGCACGACGACGAAATCGTTTGGTAAATCCCTCAGTGGGCTTTGCCTGGTAGGATGGGGTTGGTTTAGTTTGTATTTGATTGTGTTTGGGTGATGTGTTTACCTTGTGCTTTGCACTCCTAGCATGTTTTTTTTGCGCATTCGTGATGGACTGGACTCATAAGTGTGCAATTTCAAATGTTTTTGCTTACTTTCTTATACTGTTTGTTGTTGTGACGTTCTTACCCGCCCCTACCGGACATCTGTGAAAAAGAGCTTCATAGCTTATCAGATTCCTCCAGTATAAGTATTTTGATTCTGAAATGATGAGCAAGACTGCGTAACGCAGCTACACACACACAATAGTAGCTGTCATGCTGAAATGCAAATGAGCTCGAAATAAACAATGTCATCAATACCGCTGAGAACATGAAAGTAAACGTATACAATAGGCAACGGTTTGGGAAATGCCCCCCACCCCCTTCTAAGGCTACGGTGTCATTAATTAATGTGAGTTTTATTGTTAATTCTGCTTTGTAATCCGTTGTCAATGCAGCAGCACAAATACAGTGATGTGTTACATGTCTATAACTTGGTTCACTTTGCCCACGAATAGCTTCATTACGTTCTATGAGAAGCAAATTACTTGCTTAACTGATTAATGCGATTGCATATTGTTCAGTGATTAGCATGAGGTTAAAGCAATTTGAAACATTAGGCTGATCTTGCCATACGGGTGAAACCAATACACCTCCATGGTTATATTTTTTGTTCGCCCAAATTAAAGTAGAAAAAAATGGTTAATATATTTTTTCTACCTGTATATGTAAAACAACACGGAGATTTGTCTATATTTGTGCCACATTTGACCTTTTTCACCATACTTTAACATCACTAGAATTGACGACAGCCACTAACAAATTACGTCTATATAATAGCTCTGCAATCTAGGAAATTATCACTCGTGGTTAATAGTCATACAATTTTTTTTACATCTTAACATTTTGGGTCTCGTCAGCAGCCTCGCTGAGAATTTTCTACTGGGCTGCCAGTTGCTATTGGCAAAAGCACTCCATCAAACCCAAAGAGGTAATGTTGTTTCACTTCCAATAATGTTCCACAGAAGCACATAACGAGTCGTACCACTGCGTAGTTGTTTGCACAGTCACGCTGCAACTCTCCCTGATGTGTTTCCGGCTCGCAGCAAGTATTGTGATGTCCAACGCGCCGTTCCCACGTGCTGAAAGCTTCTTCAGGAACTGAATCTGTCGAAGCGCGACCAGCACACGGAGTGAAACAACGAAGAACGTGCCCAACAACACGCGGTACGAACCAAAAAACGAAACTCGGAGCTGCGTGATGGATTATTCGTAAACATTCTTTGTTTACCCAGAAAATACTCACGAAGTCTCGAGACTTATGTTCATCAGGGTCATGCTTGTGATTGCATTTTTCGGCAAATTCATTTCTGATAACATTGTTTATTCTATGGAACAAAAAATACGGATATTATTACTACTGCTACTCTTGTTTGCCCAGGAAAGCCCAGGAGTCCTATTAATCTGTGTCCTGACAATTTTGTTTTACGTAGGGCGGTGATGATCGATGTATATATTCCAATTGAATAACCTGTAGATATTTATTTTTCTCATATTTCGACCATGATGCTAGCACACAATGGCATACTTTTACGAAAGACGAATTATGAGGTGGGTAATATTATTCTAAAAAAAACAAAGACAAAGGCCCCCATGTAGCCCTAATAAATTGTTGGAGTAAGTGATGTTCGCGAGCACCTATGGAGGCCGGCACGTCACACAAGGGAATGGACGGTCAGCATCACGTCCAGCAGCCATTGCTTCCCCAGTGGCAATGTTTACACACCACACCAGGTACTCATTTGAGGCTGAATCAACCTAGTTGAGGCCCATGACCAGTTAAAATAATCGTCGCTTTTGTTGGTGGTGAATCGAACTCCGGTTGCTGGGTTTGTAGCGCAGTGCCGTGACCGCTACCAAACACATCCCTATACAAACATGTACGGATAACAATCTTGTAAAATATTACAAGCGGTGTGTGTGTGTGTGTTAGCCATGGGTCAGGAAGAACCCGACTTTGACATCATTACGAAGTATTTGCTGATGAGGCGTCACAAAGTTCAAAAGCCAAGTTCAGGAATGGTCTGCTCAATTGAATCACCCTCATTATGAGTAGTTAGCCATAGTCAACCCACTGTTGGCTGTGCAGGCTACCCAAGCTGTAATAATCCACGGAGGAGCACACCTGCTGCACACGAGATAATTGAATCGCTCTCAACTCCACGGTGAATGGCCCTCCCCGACGCATTTCATGCTTTGGCTGCCACTCAATTAACTTTGCATTGTTGTTTCTGGCTTGGATTCCTGCTTGTTTATTACTCAGTGAATAAACCAATTTATTAAATTTTAAATTTGTTTTAACAACGCCTTTTCATTTTCTGTACCTTAGAACATGATATGATATCAAATGCTGAATTCCCATGTGGGCCACTTTGTAACAATTTTATGTTATGATGTTTAACCGAATTTTAATTTGTTGCACTCAAAACATTTTATTCTCACGATGTTTGCTGTGATGATGTTTAACACGTTTTGTCAGCTGCTATAATGTAGAACCCGTTTGATATTTCGTTCCGAATTGCAATTTTGTAACGGCCCATAAAACCTTTCTGCTGCCGACTATGACGATTAGCTTGAGGTGCAGCCCTGCAACTGCTTGCGCCAGCTACTGCTGGTGCAAGGCCGTACGCTAAAGGGAACACTAGACAGCCTCCACCCCACGGTGGGGGCGGGGGGCAGTTGACCTACTCTTCTGTATTGCCTGATATGTACAGTATTGGGGGGGGGGGGGAAAGGTGGGCGCACCCACACTTTACCCTACCACAAGCGACCGAGCGATGCACTGCGATTTACCCATTCATGCTGCTGGTGTGGTGAACAGATGTGGTGGGAGGGAGCGGGGGGGGAGGTTCAGGGGTTGAACAACTTCACGGCACCATCGTTTCGACTGCCTCGCTGGCCAGATCGATGCAAACCGGCCACGTCCGATTTGCACATCCACTGTGGTCGACCGGTTGCACCGGGGCAGCGGCACTCGAGGCTGCAAGTTCGTAATCGTTGCGCTGGAATATTTTGTGTTTGTTTGTTTGTTTTTGGTGCATGATGTTTGACCCTGGATATCAATGGTCGCTCTCAATACCTGTTTGCTATTGTATTGTATTCATTGTGCCACGTTATCCCTTGAAAGAGAGGTTTTATTTTTTTGGTCTCTTTACCGGACTTTAAATGTTTAAATTGTCATCATGCGAATATGCTCAACCCCTTATCAGTCCACCGCTGGATGGAAGCCATGCCGTTCACCGAGGTTACTTGGTCACTCTGCTCAGAGCACGTTGGTTGCTAAAGGTTGGCGGAGGAGCCCAATGTCGATCGTTTTTTTTTTGCCAACTAATGTTAACCGTGGCCGGGAATCGAACTCAGATGTCCGGGTTCGCTGTGGGGGGGGGGGGAGTGCGTTAGCCGCTGAGCCACCGCTCCACTCACACTACGCAGCACGCAAAATCTGGGGGTGCTGCAAGTCTCCTGCAGCGCAGCTTTCCTCTTTACTCCACGGTCATAATCAGACTTTCACTCATCGCTCAGTGGGAAAGGGAGTGCGTGGGGAACGGTGGGTGGGAGTGTTGTGGTGGTGGTGGTGGGTAGGGAGGGGGGAAGGAGCAGACGTGGTTGGAGGGTTCCAGCTAAAGTCCCCGACCGTGGGAGTCGCGAGAGGAGATATAGAGCGAGGAGGAGGGGGGAGACGAGGGAGACATGCATAGAGCATATACCCCCACTGCAGAGAGGCGACGCAATTTAATTATTTATTTTGTTCCAATTCTATATCCCCACCACCCTCCACCACCACTCCCCAACCCCCCACCTCCCACCACATTCTTGGCGGCGCGGAACCTTCTTTTCCTCCAACGTGATCACAAACGGACCCCTTCCTCGCCCTCCACAGAGCCGGCGGCAAGTCAAGCTCGCCTCCTCTGTGTGTTTTGTGTGGGTCTGCAGCAGTCTCGACTTGCGTCAGCGAGCCCTTCGACTCTCGCGTTGTTTTGTGCTCATTTAGTGGACGGAAGCTCGTGATCGCATACGTACATACACGCACGCTCAATATGTAATAGGCTCTTCGGTTGTCATTAGGTATGCGTGTGTGCGCTCGTGGCTGGTACCGATATTAAACTGTTGTACTGCTGCACGGTTATAGATAGATACTGCATCTCATAAACGTACGGAGGATAGCCAAGCGGAGTAGATCGGAGCCCGCAATGAAACGCCGGAGGCTGGCTCGCACCACATCGTGCCGCGCGCCGCCGACTTTGAGTCTCGCCGGTTCGATCCCCACTAACGGAGGAACTGCGTCCAATGCGCCGAGCCCAGAGGCATTGCAGGAATTATGGTAAGTACCCGTGCGTAGTTTGCTTGTCTTCATTCACGCGTGAACTTGGGAGCAGAATAAATGGGGGGGGGGGGGGGGGGGGGAGGGGGAATATTGGCCGTGTATGATGAATTAACTGATGAATATAGAGGTCTTAGATAACAAAAACAGAAATGATACGTCTTGTTCGCACTTTCGCATTGATAAGTTAAAGGAAGCGTGCGCTGTACCGCACGCAGTATTTTTTTAATGTTTGTTTTAGAACGTCGCGGGCTCTTCGGTTTGACGAAGCAAACTAAGTAACACGTATGCGTCATTTTATAAATACCTGGTGGGATTGCTGCGATGTTTCACGATTGTAGAATTGTCATGATGTAGTGTACTGCCATTGATTTCAGCTGATTGAATAACACGTGCGTGTGTATGATTGCGGAATGTGTGAAAGTACTGTAGACGTCTTAATGACTTTTTAAAAAAATAGATTATATAAAATGTAACGGGCGAGCGGTGGCGCAGTGAGTCAGTGGTTCGCGCCCACTTGCGCTATGAACCCGGCCGGGAGGACCTGGGTTCGATTCCCGGCCAAGGATAACATCGCTGGCGAGAGATATCTGAACTAGGCCTACCCACCCGACCCATTTCACCCACCCGCACTTACCAACGTGGTGCAAGTATGCTCAAGCAATTACAGATTTGGCGGAGAAAGGCCTTCATCTAGCAGTGGAGTGAAAAGGGGCTGTTCGTTAACGTACACGCTAAATAATACCTGTCATAATAAATTGTCTTTGGGTTATATCGCGTAAGTATAAATGTGTCATAACCCGCCACCACCGACACAGCCAACCGGTAAGGTTTGTCACGTAAATAATACTTTTATAAGACACATTTTAAAGTACTTCAACCATTAATCTCGTACATTAATAACAAAGCAATTCATACAGAGCAGAGAGTAATCATACACTCTGTATATAACATCCCTGTCCATATATACCCTGCATACACTACATATTGCACAGTCAAATATGGGAACTGTGAAACTGGCTGTTACTGGCTGATGAGTGCTCAAAGTATTTTGAATAGTCTATTTTCTCAATTAACATAATGACATTGGCGTCTTATCATCCGAAATATTTAAAAATATGTTTTAAATATTCCACCAACTCTTAGTCGTTTCCTAATCGAATAGCAGAAGCACAATCTAGAACATGTGCTGGACATGGGCATCACGTGATTAATATCCCTTTGGGTTAAGTGAATAATGAACAGATACGACATGCAATTTTTACTATTCAAGCATTATCAGTTTAACATGGACATATATATCCATGTACTTATTCGTCAAGATAGTGGTCCGGATAATGAAGCTGGTCTGAAAAAAGTTAATGAGTTGGGGTTTGGCTTAGCCTATCATCCCTCCAGCGTCGATGGAAATAAGTCCAACCTTGTAGCAAGTAAACAGTTGCGAGCATGCTGTCACGAGGCTCCCGCTCATCATGCAATTGTTAAATTAATAATACCGCAAACTCCGCTGAGCAAGAGACGCTCAGAGAAAACGAAACCCTGAAATACTTTCAACTAAAACTGCTCCCAAACACGTAGACGCTCCCTCGCACTAAAACCAACCTCCAACACTTTTCTCTAAAACCAACACTCCCCTCGAACAACCAAACTAATGCCAGCTCTATCCAGAACACAAGTCCTGCCCCTGGCTAGCGCTATCACAACCAGTACAGCTAACACCTCCAATTAATAATGCTGTTCCTTAAAATAGCACAACACAAACGCCTGGACCATACACATTTCAGAATCTTAATTTATACGGGAGGAATCCGATGAGCTATGAAGCTCTTTCCAAACATATCATGAACACCGTGACAAAACTAACCCAATGCATTCCCCTCCCTCTGCCTCGTTCGCTTCGCTCGCTGCCGTAACAGTGTCGCACCTCCCCTTAGCACGGTTGCCGACATATGGTGCAGAAAAAAGGTCCTCATGCATACAAACACAGCGGTCATTCATCTGTGTCTCTTATCCCTCTGTATGTGTGGGTCTATTCTCCTGCATGTGCCCTCCTACCGAGCCCGCCCCCCATCTCCGCATATTGTCGTCCTCTCTGGCACATTTCACCTCCTTTGCCTGCCATTCAATGCAAGTCTCAGCCCATCACCCATCATCAACAAACGAGAGACGACATCCTGCACAAGCCCGCTCACCGCTCTCTGTTTACAGACCTGTTGACAAGCAACTCCCTGGACTGGGGCTACCTTCCCCATGCCGCGGTGGTCATCGTGGGGTTGTCTGGTCATACTTCACCACATTTCGTCAGTGCGAATTTGTGAAGGAATGGGGGTTGGTGGGGAATCTCAGGATCGGTTTATATATCACTCTGCACCGATACCAACAAAAACATCAACAAATATATTTTATATAATAGGTGACAAGAAATGGCTCTTCTTCATGGCACTGATATTAGACTTTGATCGAGAACTGAAATGGCCAGATTAGTAGTGCAGTGCGTTAACCATTGCGCCACCGTTCCCCCCCCCCCCCCCCCCGCCTCTCTTAACACTGAATCATAGCTTTGACTTGTACGCAGCGACGAATGTATGGACGCACAGCTAATACACAGCCATGTACATATACACAGCCGATGGTGCAGCCCAGAGTAAACTGTGCGTGTGGTTGCTGGGGTTGCCGTATATCTGCATGGGTGCGTGGAGTCTTCGGGTGTCTGTACTGTCTGTGTGTGGATGCTGGTGGTGCTGTCTGTGTGTGTGGATGCTGGTGGCTCTGTCTGTGTGTAGATGCTGGTGGTGCTGTCTGTGTGTAGATGCTGGTGGTGCTGTCTGTGTGTAGATGCTGGTGGTGCTGTCTGTGTGTAGATGCTGGTGCTGCTGTCTGTGTGTGGATGCTGGTGCTGCTGTCTGTGTGTAGATGCTGGTGGTGCTGTCTGTGTGTGTAGATGCTGGTGGTGCTGTCTGTGTGTGGATGCTGGTGGTGCTGTCTGTGTGTAGATGCTGGTGGTGCTGTCTGTGTGTAGATGCTGGTGGTGATGTCTGTGTGTGTAGATTCTGGTGGCTCTGTCTGTGTGTGTAGATGCTGGTGGTGCTGTCTGTGTGTAGATGCTGGTGGTGCTGTCTGTGTGTGGATGTTGGTGGCTCTGTCTGTGTGTGTAGATGCTGGTGGTGCTGTCTGTGTGTGGATGCTGGTGGTGCTGGCTGTCTGTAGATGCTGGTGGGGCTGTCTGTGTGTAGATGCTGGTGGTGCTGTCTGTGTGTGGATGATGGTGGTGCTGGCTGTGTGTAGATGCTGGTGGTGCTGTCTGTGTGTAGATGCTGGTGGTGCTGTCTGTGTGTAGATGCTGGTGGTGCTATCTGTGTGTGTAGATACTGGTGGTGCTGTCTGTGTGTAGATGCTGGTGGTGCTGTCTGTGTTTGTAGATGCTGGTGGTGCTGTCTGTGTGTAGATGCTGGTGGTGCTGTCTGTGTGTGTAGATGCTGGTGGTGCTGTCTGTGTGTGTAGATGCTGGTGGTGCTGTCTGTGTTTGTAGATGCTGGTGGTGCTGTCTGTGTGTAGATGCTGGTGGTGTTGTCTGTGTGTGTAGATGCTGGTGGTGCTGTCTGTGTGTAGATACTGGTGGTGTTGTTTGTGTGCGTGGATGCTGGTGGTGCTGTCTGTTGTGTGTATATGCTGGTGGTGCTTTCTGTGTGTGTAGATGCTGGTGGTGCTGTCTGTGTGTAGATGCTGGTGGTGCTGTCTGTGTGTAGATGCTGGTGGTGCTGTCTGTGTGTGTAGATGCTGGTGGTGCTGTCTGTGTGTAGATGCTGGTGGTGCTGTCTGTGTGTGTAGATGCTGGTGGTGCTGTCTGTGTGTAGATGCTGGTGGTGCTGTCTGTGTGTGGATGCTGATGGTGCTGTCTATCTGTGGATGCTGGTGGTGCTGTCTGTGTGTGGATGCTGGTGGTGCTGTCTGTGTGTAGATGCTGGTGGTGCTGTCTGTGTTTAGATGCTGGTGGTGCTGTCTGTGTGTGTAGATGCTGGTGGTGCTGTCTGTGTGTAGATGCTGGTGGTGCTGTCTGTGTGTAGATGCTGGTGGTGCTGTCTGTGTTTAGATGCTGGTGGTGCTGTCTGTGTGTGTGGATGCCGGTGGTGGTGTCTGTGTGTAGATGCTGGTGGTGCTGTCTGTGTGTGGATGTTGGTGGTGCTGTCTGTGTGTAGATGCTGGTGGTGCTGTCTGTGTGTGTAGATGCTGGTGGTGCGGTCTGTGTGTGTAGATGCTGGTGGTGCTGTCTGTGTGTGGATGCTGGTGGTGCTGTCTGTGTGTGTAGATGCCAGTGGTGTTGTCTGTGTGTAGATGCTGGTGGTGCTGTCTGTGTGTGGATGCTGGTGGTGCTGTCTGTGTGAAGATGCTGGTGGTGCTGTCTGTGTGTAGATGCTGGTGGTGCTGTCTGTGTGTGTGGATGCTGGTGGTGCTGTCTGTGTGTAGATGCTGGTGGTGCTGTCTGTGTGTGTGGATGCTGGTGGTGCTGTCTGTGTGTGTAGATGCTGGTGGTGCTGTCTGTGTGTGGATACTGGTGCTGCTGTCTGTGTGTAGATGCTGGTGGTTATGTCTGTGTGTGGATGCTGGTGGTGCTGTCTGTGTGTAGATGCTGGTGGTGCTGTCTGTGTGTAGATGCTGGTGGTGCTGTCTGTGTGTGTGGATGCTGGTGGTTCTGTCTGTGTGTGGATGCTGGTGGTGCTGTCTGTGTGTGGATGCTGGTGGTGCTGTCTGTGTGTGTAGATGCTGGTGGTGCTGTCTGTGTGTAGATGCTGATGGTGTTGTCTGGGTGTGGATGCTGGTGGTGCTGTCTGTGTGTGTAGATGCTGGTGGTGCTCTCTCTGTGTGTAGATGCTGGTGGTGCTGTCTGTGTGTGGATGCTGGTGGTGCTGTCTGTGTGTGGATGCTGGTGGTGCTGTCTGTGTGTGTAGATGCTGGTGGTGCTGTCTGTGTGTAGATGCTGGTGGTGCTGTCTGTGTGTGGAT